TCCAGAACACGAGCAGGACCAGGAGCTGGGGGGCCGTCCGAGGCCTCCAGAACTCCCCCAAGCCCTCTATGCCACCTCGTTCATGGGCTGTCCTCTGTTTCCCTGGGATTCTTTGTGGGAGTAGAAATGATGATGGGGAGGAGCAGGAGGAGGACACGTCCACAGCCCCAACTGGTCATTCAACCTCGGTGGCCCCATTCATCTGGGCGCGATCAGGCGTGTGATGGCCCTTGGCGGTTCCCCTTTGGGGGGCCCCAGCGCGGTGCTTGCTACATCGCAGTGGTCATTAGGATCTGAAAAAAAAACATTTCCACCGCCCCAAACTGGCACTCTACCTGGCTTTCCTGTGGAAGGGCTAATAGAAGGGCTTATTGCAATGCCTGGTAGATCGCGGCGACAATGGGGCTCTGAAAACTACCCATCAAAGCATCCTAATAGCATGAAAGAACCTGCGGCGTGCGTGTTGCCTCTGGGGCATCTGAGACTTGTGGGACCTCTCGGATCTATTGGAACCGTGAGACATGTGGGGTGAAACCTGTGGGAACTGTGGGACTTTTGGAACTCGTGAGGCAAGTGGGAACTGTGGGACTTGTGACACCTGTGGTACCTGTGGGACCTGTGGAACTCGTGGGTCTTGTGAGACTTGTGGGACTCGTGGGACCTGTGCGCACAGTGAGACTTGTGGGACCTGGGGCCTCTGTGGAACATGTTGGGCCTGTGGGCCCTGTGGGACCTGTATAACCTGTGGGACCAGCGGGGCCTGTGGAGTATCTAGGGCATGTGGAGCCTGTGCGACTCGTGAACCTTGTGGGGCCCGTGGGACTCGCGCGGCCTGTCCTATTTGTGGGACTTCTGGCGCCCGTGCGACCTGTGGGACCTGTGGGACCTGTGGAATTTGTGGGACCTGCGGGGCTTGTGGGGCATGTGGACCTTGTGGGCTTGTGGGCTGTGGGACCCGTGAGACCTGGGGGACCTTTGTGGCTTGTCGGACATGTGAGATCTGCGAGACCTGTTGGACATTTGGGGCAGATGGGAACTTCGCACTTGTGCGACCCCTGGGACCTGCGGGACCTGTGGGACCTGGGGGGCTTCTGCGCCCTGTGGATCCTGTGAGTCCTGTGACGCCTTTCGCACCTGTAGGACCTCTGGGACCTGCGAGACCTGCAAGGCTTGTGGGACATGTGGGAACTCTAGGGCCTTTGGAGCCTTTGGGACCTCTGGCTCTGGTACCTGTGGGACCTGGATGGACCTGTGCAGCCTACGCGACATGCGGGACCTGTGGGACCTGTGGAAACTGTGGGACCTATGGGATATGTGGCACCTGTCAGGTGTGGTGCCTGTGGGGCATTTGGGACCTGTGGGATCGTGGGACTTGTGGGGCTTCTGGGACCTGTGGGACCCGCGCGACACGTGGGACCCGTGGCACATATTAAACCTGTGGAACTCTGTGGGGCCTGTGCGGCCTGTACGACGACCTGCGGGACCGTGGCCGTCTAGAGAAAAAAGATGCTGGCATTGAACCACGATTCCTATATACATGGTGAGGAAGTCTCGTCGCTCCCTTCTACTGACTTGCAGTTGCGCGAAGAGCAGCTTTAGCTTTGCCGGCAGGAACTTTAAGCCAGCGGCTCTTGTACATTCAGGGCGGTCGTTATTGCGTTCGCCCACTGTTATTTTGCCAGGGTATGCGAGTGGGCACAGGGCCGATTCATAAGGATCATTTGTGTCGATCAACGTTTGGAGCCATCTTGGTGCCTTGACGAAGACGGACCGCGTGTGCCACGCCGCTGCCTCGACGAGGAAAACAGAGAAGGAAGTCTCAGGCGAACGGCTGCCAAACTTGTCGGTGTCGTGCTCCCCGTCCCCCCCCGTGGCAGCCAGCATTGAGGCGAGAGTTTACTGAGCACATGTGTGAAAAGTCTGGGGCGAACCGGCTGCCGAACCAAACGGTCTCGGGCTCCCCGTCTCCCCAGCGGCACTCTTACGTGATCCTTGCTGCTATCATTGGAGCCTGAGGCCGCGCGAGTCCGGAGTAAATTGTGAGGAAGGCTGAGGCGAAACGGCTGCTGGGCCAGGCAGTCTCGGGCTCCCCGTCCCTCCTGCGGTGGCTAGCACTGAGGCCAGAGAACGATTCCCGAGTCCACTGCGAGGGACCTGAGCCAGGACAGGGGAAGGAGCACGGCCATGTGCACCATCGTTTTTCTGTTACCATGGATCCTGGGCGTGCGGGCCAAAAAGGTGGCCGGCAATCGGGCGAGAGCACGATCCCTGAATGCACTGTGAGGGATGCGGCTGCTGGCACTTCGGGGGGAACTCAAGCAGTGGCGAAGCGTCCCGATTTGCCAAAAGGCCCACCAACTAATGTTATAAGAACCTGTTGTGGTCTGCAAGATTTGTTTTTAGAACATTTCTTGCTGAATCTGTCTTGATTTGACGCACTGAGCTTATGTTCTAAGAACGTCTTTTGGTTTTTGGAACACTTCTGGGTTCTAGGAATATTTCGTGGTAGGCCAGCCTATAGGAATGACGGGACGGTCGGTCCCCGCTCAAGGGAACGGCCTCCCCGTCCCACCCGTGGGACGCTTCTGTGGTCGCTGTGAGCACTATGAGAACCTTTTTTAGCGAAACGCTACCAGGGAACAAGTCAGGAGGGAACAAAAACACAAAGGACACAATTAACCGTCGATTCCCCAGAAAATATAGGAAAATATTGGGGATTATGTTATTTGTGTGTATTTATTTGTGTGTCCCAGGGCCCCTTCAACAAGTCACGCCCACCGGCCCAAACGGGCATTGTACTTGAGAGGTGCCACCAATCTGGGCGCGAACGAACTCGCGTAGTACACGCCAGTGGCTCCCCCCTTGGGAGGCCCGAGCGCCCGAGCGGGATGCCTGCTATTTCGCGGTGGCCACGGGGTTCTGAAATGCGGCACGCCCACCGGCCCAAACATCAGAGGAGGAAGAGGTACCAGTATCGCTACCCTTCCCGCGGTTTCCCGTTTTGGGCCTCCCAGGAGCCCTCGCCGCCATCGCTGGACTCGCTTCGAAATCCTGGTCAGAACGCAACCTGGGAGAGGTCAGTGGAGTAGCGGTGTCGGTAACCCTTCTGGTTCCCCCCAAATGGGCATTTTGCCTGAGAGTTCCCGCCAATCTGGGCGCGAGCGGGCCCGTGTAGCCCCCCCTTCTGGCTCCCCCTTGGGAGAACTCGCTGCGATGCTTGCTACATCGCGGAGTGCATGGGGCTCAGCAGAGAGACGATTCCACCGTCCCATACGGGCACCCTATCTGAGAGGTCCCACCAATCTGGGCGCGACTTTGCCCGTGTAGTACCCGCTGGTGGTTCCCACTTAGACGGCCCGAGCGCGATGCCTGCTACATCTCGGTGATGACCGTGCGGGCTCTGAAAAGAGACGCGTCCACCTCCCCAGACGGCCATTCTGCCTGAGAGATCTCACCAATCTGGACGCGAACGGTTCCGTGTATCAATACCCCCCTGGTGGTTCCCGGCTTGTCAGTCCCGAGTGTGATGCGTGCTGCATCGCGGTGGGAATGAGGGTAAGTTTGAATCTAATTGTGTCTGAGTGGTTATGAGTAAGAGTACGGCAAAGAGTGAGCGAGGCTGCATGCGAGTGAAACTGAGTACGAGCGGGTCTGAGTGCCAGTGGGTCCCAAGCATGAACGGGATGTGCGCATGCGTGGGTCTCAGCGGTAGTGAGGGAAGCGCGAGGGGGTGAAAGTAACGAGGGAAGGATGCGGGGGCACCGCTCGAATCACAGGTTTCGAAGATCTGCCCCTCCTCGGGCGAGACCTGTCCTCCGCCACCCGCCAGGCCCTCTCCTGGGCACGCGGGGCCGGTGCACATGCCCCCCTGGCCAGGCCAGGGGGGCGAAGGCACCGCTCCTGGGCCGAGGGTGGGCCTGCCCAAGGGCGGTCGATGCGGAGGGACCTCGCCACCCTTATCCCCTGTCTTTGGGGGGGGGGGGCCTGGGGGAGGTCGGACGGGGCTAGGACGAGGGCACTGGAGCCCTCTCGGAGCTCTCGGGCACGCTCAGAGAAGGCCGCGGCGCCCGAGAAACCCTCCAGATCCGCCCGATCTCAGGGCTTCTCGATGCATCCCCGCCCTGGCTTCGTCTCAGGAGGACCTCGTGGCCCTGGCCTGATCACATGCCAGGGAGGGGGGGAGGAGGGCGGGACTCCGGCGCAGCGGCCGCTTCCCGGCTGGGCGCCTCGCCCTCTTAGAGGGCCGCGGAGCCCGCCTGCCGGGAGACCGCGCCCCACAAGGCCGCGGTGCACCGCCTCCGGCTGCCCACGGGAAAAGCGAGAGGGAGGCGGAGGAAGCGCGCGGATGAGGAGGAGTCGGGGGTGGACAGAACCCCCAACAGTGGCACGTCGATTAGTGGGTTGTCCGTTTTCGGTTCTCGAGATGGCGTCGTGGCCGTTGTTTTCCAGGCTTGCGCCCGCCAGGTTTGGGCCTCAGGTCGTTTTCACTAAACCACGTTTTACTAAAGGGGGGTCTGTCCATCCCCGAAGGAGGGCGACAAGCGAGAAGGAGCGGCGGAAGGGTGAGGCGGGCGTAGGCGAGGAGGAGGCGGCGGCGGAGGTGGAAGGGGACTCTGGGCCCAAGGTGGCGCGGTCTTACACAACACATCGCCTGTAATTACCATGTCGTGATCTCGTTCAAGCGGGGCTTCGAACATGTGAGGTTCGAACTTGCCAGAGTGTTGGATTGCCGCCGCATTTTGGCGGTTCCAGCGCGAGCTTTCACGGTCCAGCTCTCGTGCGCCGACGGTTTGGGCCCACCACGCTTCAGGGCGACAAGTTAATCACGTCTTGGGTCCCCGGGCGTCACCGTCCCGAGAGTTTTCCATGCCCCCCCGCCCCGCGGAGTGGAGCGACACGCTTTCCGCCCGCTCGGCATAGCGTGTCGCCTGGGCTGCCGCCGCGACACGCGAAGCGAACGTGCCTGACGGGTGACCGTGGTTGACGTCCCCCGACTTCTCCTGCAGGACCTCGCGAGCCAGCTGGAAGGGCAGCGCACGGCCTCGGAGCGTGCCGCCGCGGACGCTGCGCTGCAAAGCCACCGGCTGGAGGAGTCGCTGACGCAGAAGGATCCCGAGCGGCGAGCATGTCCATCATATCCACGCATTAGCGGTCGCGTGGATGTCTGGGTACGTGCCGCGCGGGGCGCCCGCGGAAGAGCGCGACGTATCCACGGGGCTGCGGCCCAGGGGCCCCGGCCCCGCGAGGCCGTGAATACAGAGACGGTAGGCACATCTAATATGAAGTTGGCCTGCCAGCATGTGCCCCACGCCCGATGGTATCCAGGCTGGGGCCTGGGGCTCAAAGAAGCTCTGGGGCACCTCGGGGAGCTCAAAGATCGACCAATCGAATGCCCTTATCTTTCTTTTTTCAGCATCGCTCAGCCGACCCCTATGCCCATCCCCACCCCCATTCCGAGCCCAACGATGTCAGCACCCCAGTTGGGGATGTACCCCTCCAAACCCGAAGGGAACAGCCTACATCCCCATCTGGGGCGGTAAACTGGCCAGTGGGGCCAAGGCCACGCGGATGGGGATACGGGTCGGCCTAGCGATGTTCATGATAGCAAGAGCTCTTCTCGCATGTGCCTGCTGGCCGTGTCCTCCGCCCACGACCCGGCGGCGAGCGAGGGGTGGAAGTGAGAAGGAGACGACCTTCTCAGAATCCTTCTGGCCTCCTGAGAAGTCTTCTGTGTCGTCTTCGGGGAAGACTCAGAGAACTGTTCGGAAGGCCATGGAACTTCCGATCCGGAGAAGGCCCGCACCTTCTCACTTCCCCCTGGGCGCGCCGCCAAGCGACAGGGGCTGGGGCGCGATAACTGGGGGGACAGCGAGGGCTGCAGACAGGGGGCCTTGTACGTAGGTAGGGCCTTTAGGGCCTCGAGGGGGCCTGGAGGGTCCGAAGAAGGCACCTTCCTCCCCCCCCCCCCCCATGCATGGCCTCCCCGTCTTCGCGCCCAGAGGAGGAGCAGCTGCTGGCCTGCCAGGCCGCCCTGCGCGAGCTGGACCCCTCCCACGGCCACCCGCTCCGCGGCGTCAGCGTGCACCACGTGTGCGGCGGCCTCTTGGACGCCGTGCGGGAGGCCTCGGGCGGGCCCGGGGCCAGGATGGAGCGCTCTGGCAGGGCCGCGGCGCCCGATGCTCGGGGGCCACCAGACCCGGATCCCTTGGCACTCGTTGAGAAATCAGGAGGGGAAAAAACACACAGACACAATTAATCCTCGATTCCCCAGAAAATATGGGAAAATATGGGAAGTGGGGGGGAAGACAGAAACCTAGAAAATATGGGAAAATATGGGGAATATCTTTATTTGTGTGTATTTATTTGTGTGTCCTGGGGCCCCTTCAAGAAAACTATGATGGGAGGTGTTTCGCTATTTTCTGCCTCCGGGGGCCCCTCTGAGTATACTGGTCCCCTGGACGGTCAAAAAAACGACCCCAGGATGAAAAGTTGTTCCCGGGGAAGGGGTCCAGCTTTCGGGGGGGGCGACTTCGTTGGGATTAAAGTCACCACGACGGGGTCTAGGAACGGTTGGGGCCACGAAGACCGGCAGAGGTTCCTGCCCATCTTGAGCAGGGCTCGCTGTCGGTGCCGCCGCGGGCGTGGTCCTTTTGAGAAAAGAGGTCGCCTGCCCAACAGCGGCCGACGTCGGCTTTGGACGGTGCTTGCGGTTGGGCATCGTGTCCAGTTTTTTCGTACCCACTGCGGGCGTTCAAATCTGTGTATGGTTCTGTCTTGGTCTTGGCCGGATGGGGCCAGGACGACGGCAAATCGGTCCCAGAGTGCTTTGGGACGCTCTCAGAGCTTTCTGGAACGCTCGCAGAAGGCCGCGGCGCCTGAGACATCCTCCAGAGCCGCCAGATCTCAGAGATTCGCGGTGCATCTTTCCGAGGTGGGGATTGGAGGATTCCTTTTCGGAGACCTCGGCGGGCGGGAGATGTGGATATATTTTGACACCCGGGGGCGTCCCCAAGGCGTCGGTTCCCAAGCGGTGGATATGGATAATCCCCACCTCGCAATCCTCACCGCGGGCCTCCTCGCGTCGTCGTCCTCCTCGCGTCGTTGTCCTCCTCCTCCTCCTCCTGCTCCGTCTCCTCCTCCATCCTCCTCCTCCGCTTCTTCTTAATATTTAAGCTGCTTTTTTTATATTATTATTATCACCATTTTTATTATCCGTATTATTGCTCCTCCGCTTCCTCTTCCTCATCCTCATCCTCCTCATTCTCCTCCATCCTCCTCCATCCTCCTCCATCGTCTTTCTCCTACATCCTCCTTCATCGTCCTCCTCCTCCTCCTCCTCCTCCTCCTCCATTCTCCTCATCGTCCTCCTCCATCCTCACCCGACTCGTCCTCGTCCCGGCCTCGTCCTGCCCTGGCCTCGCCGCGAGGCGCAGCTCAGCCCCAGGGCGCCGCTGCGGGACCTCGAGGGACCGCTCCTGAGCCGCAGGGGCGAGGCCGTGCCCTGCCCACGCGACGGGCTCCCGGGGGCCACGTACGTGGACTGCCTCCGCGGCGTGGACGAGGCTCGGAGAAGAGACAGACGTCCTCCTGCCTTTTGGGGGCCATGGCCGTGGCCGCTGCCCTGGCCGTGCGTGGGTGGCCGTGTGGCCGTGGCGGCCGCGTGCACGGCCGTGGCTGTGGCCGCAACTGCGGCCATGGCTGCGGCCGCGTGCACGGCCGTAAACGCGCCCAGGGAGCGCCTCCAGGCCCGCGTCCAGCGACGGCACGAGGACCTGCACAGAGCGGCATCAGTATACACCTTTGTGTTCGTTTTCAAAGTCGTTGTTTTGTCGATAGGCGCGGGCCCTCGCCCCCCCCCCCGTGCAGTAGGTCTTGCCTGTTTTGGGTGCCTGTTTCAAGCAAGTGGGGTCCCCCCATCCAAAGCGCGCACTGTTGCAAACCGTCGGATTAAGCAAAGGTCCGGAGCCAGGCCCCCCCCTTTGCGCCCAATGTCGAAACGCCGAATAAGGAAACGTTGATTTCCGATTACAGTCAAGACGTTGGTCCTTGAGGTTAGGTCTTTCCATGGCTGTTCCTCCAGCTCTCCTCGTGCACGCAGGCGCCTTTGGGGCCAGAAAGGGTCTTCGTTCCTAACATGTCGTTCCTTATCTCAGCAGCCTGTCGGCGAAAGAGTAAATTCTGGGGCAAACCGACTGTAGTCGACCTCTGCCTCGAACATTTTTGGAGGTCCGTGCACATCATCTTCTCGGGCCGGCGCTGGGGCCCCCTCCCCTCCCTGGCGTGCGCAGCTCCCCTGAGGAGACGCCCGAGGCGCCGCCAGGGGGGCCCAG